TAAGTGCACATTTGCACAAAAGAAAGTTGAATATTTGGGATTTGTCATTTCTGCTGAAGGAGTTGCCACAGACCCTGCTAAAGTTGAGGCAATCACCCAATGGCCAACACCATAAAATGTCACTCAACTCAGGAGTTTCTTGGGACTGGCAGGGTACTACAGAAGGTTTATCCAGAATTTTGGTATTATCTGCAGACCATTGTTTGATGCATTAAGAAAAGATGCTTTTACTTGGTCTGAGAAACAAGCTGCAGCTTTCAACACTCTGAAAACTTGCATGACACAAGCCCCAGTTCTAGCATTACCTGACTATTCATCTCCATTTGTTTTAGAAGCAGATGCTTGTGGGTATGGAATTGGAGCAGTTTTAATGCAACAAGGGAAACCCATAGCTTTCCTAAGTAAATCCCTGGGTCCCAAAGCAGCTGGATGGTCCACCTATGACAAGGAGGCCCTGGCCATCATTGAAGCTCTTAAACAATGGAAACATTACTTTGCTGCTTCCTCAATCATCATAAGAACTGATCAGCAAAGCCTTAAACACATCCAGGAACAGAAAATCACTGAAGGAATTCAACATAAATTGCTCATTAAGCTCTTGGACTACAAGTTCAGAGTGGAATATAAGAAAGGGAAAGAAAACATAGTAGCAGATGCTCTGTCTAGAGTGAAATATGCTCTGCTAACCTTATCCACTACTGCTGCAGTACCTGTTTGGATTAAGGAAGTGGTCAACAGCTACAACAATGACAGAAAGTGCTCTGACTTACTTACTGAATTAGCTGTTGCTCCTAAGGGACATCCACCTTACACTCTTACAAGTGGAGTGTTAAGATACAAAGGAAAAATTCTCATTGGCAATAACAATGAGCTGAGGAAATAACTGCTGCAAGCTTTTCACACTTCTAAACTGGGAGGACACTCAGGGGAAAGAGCTACTTACCACAGACTGAAAATTCTATTCACATGGACTGGAATGAGGAAAGCAGTGCAACTATTTGTGCAACAATGCCCTGTGTGCCAAATCAACAAAGCTCATCATTCCCCTTCTCCTGGTTTATTACAGCCCCTACCAGTTCCTGACTTTGCTTGGACACACATATCCATGGATTTTGTAGAGGGCTTACCTGAGTCTGACAACAAAGATCTCATTCTAATGGTGGTGGATAGGTTCACCAAATACTCCCATTTCATTGCCCTCAAGCATCCCATTACTGTGAAAGTTGTAGCACAAGCCTTCACTGACAATGTTTTCAAACTGCATGGTCTCCCTACTGTCATTGTCACTGACAGGGACAAAATTTTCACAAGTCAGCTGTGGCAACAGTTGTTCACAAAAATGGGAGTGAAGCTACATCTGAGAACTTCCTACCACCCTCAAACGGATGGCCAAACAGAAAGAGTGAACCAATGTCTGAAAAGCTACCTGAGATGCATGGCATTTGCTCATCCAAAGAAATGGCACAAGTGGCTGTCAATGGCTGAGTGGTGGTACAACACAAGCTTCCACACCTCACTCAAAATGACACCATTCCAGGCATTGTATGCCAAACCACCCCCTCTTAATGCGGAACTCATGCTACCTCCACCTGAAGGGGATGACACTCAAGCAGAACTGGACAGAGATGCCATTGCCCAACAAATCAAAGGGAACCTCCTGAAAGCACAAGAGAGAATGAAATATTTTGCTGACAGAAAAAGGTCTGACAAACAACTTGAAGTGGGGGACATGGTATATGTCAAGTTGCAACCCTACAGACACACCAGCCTAAGCATCCAAAGGCACTTAAAACTGCACTCCAAGTACTATGGACCCTTCAAGATTCTTGAGGAAGTTGGATCTGTGGCATACAGGTTACTCCTCCCAGCTGATTGCAAATTACACCCCACCTTCCACATTAGTCAGCTCAAGAAACATCTTGGTCCAGACGCAGTACCCAATTCCAAATTGCCACTACTGGATGAAGAGGGCCACATTCTCATTCAACCTGAAGCTGTTCTGCAAAGGAAGTTAATTCCCAGAGTCCAGGGAGACATTAGCATACCTGTCGTTCAGTGGCTGGTGAAATGGACAAATCTGGCTGCAGATAAGGCGACATGGGAAGACGCTGCTTTTATCCAAAAAGTTTTTCCAGGTTTTCAGCCTTGAGGACAAGTCTGTTCTCGTCGGGGAGGAATTGTCAGGACAGGAATTCTTCAGACAACAGTTAGAAACAACACAGTACCGTTTCATTTTCCGGCGCGCCCTACAACCATCGATCGAAGATCCTACGGCTCCAGCGAGCGTACGGTTTCGCTCACAAGTCGCCCGCTCGCAACCGTTGATCTCCAGATGAACGGCTGAAGTAGTTTTTCTCCTTTTAAAACTTTACTGTAACTCTGTGATTGCTGAAGCTGTCACTTTCTTGCTTTTTACCTGCTTGAACCACTTTATAAACCCTCCTCCGGCTTGTGGAGAGGGCATTCTGGATGTTTCTGGGCTTGGCCCTAAAGCCGCCATGTTCCGGCTGGCGAACCCTAGTTTTGTGGCTCAGATCCACCCGCAATCAATCCCCAAGTTCTCCCGAATTGTGTCGATTTTCGGTTGCGTTTTCTGAATTTTGGCGACAGTTCATAGTTCGGTCCTGTCAGTCCTCTTCTGCGTCTACTCCTTCCTCGCTCGTCACCGCGCCATCTCCGCCGCCCACGGCAACTTCGCAAGGCACATAAGCGATATCGACACGGGCCATGAATTTCGAACGACCAGCCCACATGCCGGTGCCGGTGCCGCCGCCGTCTCCAGCAGCGATGACGGCCGACATGCATGACGTGCCACCGCCTCCTCCGGTATCGACAACGCCCCCTCCAGCAGAGACAACCTCGAGCTCACAGGAAGCCCACTCCAACTCCACCTCCAACTCCGGGCCGGGTAACTGCCCGGTGTGCTTCGAGCCATTACATGGCGATAGCAACATCATGGCGGCTTACGCGTGTAGCCACGTGTACCACACGTCGTGCATTGAGCCGTGGCTCCACCAAGGAGGCCCTTGTCGCGTGTGTCAGTGCCCTCTCAACTCTACCTTCACCTCTAGCCACGTCCCCATCTCCACTTCCAACTCCAACCCCACCTCTACCCCCATCCCCACCTTCAACTCCAACTCTCGTGCTAACGCGCCACCACTTCCTCGAGTAGCAACAACGCACTCCCGCAGAGACGTGCCACCGCTTCCTCGAGCAGCCACGACGTCCTCCTGCACAGACATGCCATCGCCTCTCCTAGAAGCAACATCGTCCTCCCAGATAGACATGCCACCGCCTTCTCGAGCAGCGCAGCCCCGCCGCCCACAAGGAGCCAACTCTAACACCGCCACCAACTCCGGCCTCGGTAACTGCCCAATGTGCCACGAGCCATTACATGGGCGTACTAACGTCATGGCGGCGCATGCTTGCGCCCACGTGTTCCATGCGTCTTGCATTGAGCCATGGCTACACAACCGAGGGTCCTGCCCCATATGCCAGTGCACCGCCAACCCCACCTCTGATTCCACCTCCACCCCCAGCTCTAACCCCACCTCTACCTCCACCCCTAGCTCTAACTCCACATCTAGCCCAATCGACGATTGTCCGGTGTGCCTCGAGTCCTTGCTCGTTGTCGGTGGTGACGTCAGGGCGGCTCATGCGTGCGGCCATGTGTTCCACTCGCGCTGCATTGAGCCATGGCTCCACCAACAGGGTTCGTGTCCCGTGTGCCGATGCACTGTCAACTCAACCTTCACCTCCACCTCTACCCCCAACACCACCTCTACCTCTAATTCCAATTCCATCCCTATCTCCACCATCACCTCCAATGCCATTGGCAATTGCCAGGTGTGCCTTGAGCCCTTGCATGCTGATAGTGGCGACATCAGAGCAGCTCACGTGTGCGGCCATGTGTTCCACTCGCGATGCATTAAGCTATGGGTACGCCAATGGGGATCATGCCCCGTGTGCCGGTGCACTGTTGTCTTCAACTCCAACTCCGGCGGCGAATGTCCAATGTGCCTCGAGCCCTTACTCGTTGGTGGTGGCGACGTGAGGGTGGCGCACGTGTGTGGCCACATGTTCCACTCGCACTGCATCGAGCGGTGGCTACGCCACCGCAACTCCTGTCCCGTGTGCCGTTGAACAGAAATGACATAGTAGGGGCACCGAAGCGGACAACGGTGATGTGCAAAGATCCATGATCGAGAGTCCATGATGGTGATATGCAAAAGATTCATTATCACTTGAGCTGAACTACTCGGTGAGTAAGACAACATGCAACAATGTTGGTAATGACAACGAGTGTGACAGTTTGCCAGTAAAGACAGTTGTTTTCTTTGGAATGAGCTTGCTTAGACATAGTACATATTGTCCACCAATTGCTTGGTTATTCATGTATGTTCTGTCATTGGTTCAGTGGCATATTCTTTGGTGTTATAATGTAAACCAACCCATACAGATAAGGGTTTGGAATTCGATTTGATTCTTTTATTGTATCTCAAGCCTTGTAATCTCTGGACGTAATCTTTTCTTTTATTTGGAGAAAACTTCTCAACTGTGCATCAATTGTCAAGATAATACAAAGAACACTAGAAGTAAAATTTACATCCAGGTTTGTAGACCACCTAGCGACGACTACAAGCATTGGAGCAAGCCGATTGCACGCCACCGTCATCACCCCTTCCTCGACGGAGTCGGGCAAACATTGATAATTTATTGGATTAAAAGTTTCTAGAGAATAATCTCATTGATAATTTATTGCATTACAATGTAATTGGATTAAAGGTTTGTATATGATGGCACATCGGCATGGTAATGGAGGCCACGGAAAAAGCAATGGAGAAATTCGACACTAGTTTCAGAAACTTGCAAAACCCCTAGCGAGCACACGTACAACTCCTGTCCTTCAAGTTCCAGTCAGACTAAACACTTCTCTCCTCTAGTAGACAGACATCTTCTGTTTGCTTCTTTGTTTTCCTTGTGTTCTATATAAAGACCTGTCAGATTATGCTGTAAGCCCGGACGACCTCGACGATGGGCGCGCGGCACAGCGGGCACTTGCCGGCGCCGCGGAGCAGCTCGCGGGCGCACTTTGAGCAGGTGCACATGTGCCCACACCTGAGAATGCCATCACAAGATGAACCAACGTCACATCGTGTTTGTGTATGTGTGTGCACATAATCAAGGTGAGGGATGGCAAATGGAAGCAGAACGAACCTGTAGAGAAGCGAGTCGATCTGGCTGTCGCAGCAAATGCAGCAGGTCCCTTTCCTCACCAGCTCCCACTGTGATCCATCATCGTACCATCTAACTGTCCCTGGTGTAAGTTGAAAAAAATCCAGATTAGTCTTCTTGGTCAATCACCATGGATGGATAGATAGGAGTAGATGCCAGGAGATCGATGGATGAGGAAGAAGAAGAGGGGAGAGTGATATGATATGGTATGACGGACCATGGAGGGACAGAGAGCGGTGCATGGCAGAGGCGACCTCCTGCCGGATGGAGCGCTGCAGCTCGACCTGCATCTCCATGCACGCCTGCAGCATCTGCTGCGTGCTGGCCATCCCGCGCTGGAGCACGGCCATGTCGTCCCGCAGGTCGTGGATGGCCTCATCAACTTCCTGCCAAACACATCCCTGCTCTTCAGCAATACTAACACACAAGATGGTAGCCTGAAGATAGACGGGGAGGGGGGACTCACAAGTTCATCTGCCCGTTGCATGGGCTGCCGGCTCCGGTCACGGCGAGGCGGCACCATCCGCCAGCGCCGCTGCTGCCTCTGGCCGGCGGCGGCCTGCTCGGCCCGGTCCGATCCGTCGATCCGGTGGTGCTGGACATGGTGTTGGTTGAGTGGCGCCGGAGGGTCATGCTCCTGCCTCTGAGCGTACGAGTGCACGAGCTGGTCCAGGCTCTCGCGGAAGCCGCTGCTGAGCAGATTGGAGACGCTGCGCCTACAAAACAAATATGATCATGTGATCTTTATCAAGCACGATGATGCAACAATTCATACACTGATGCCAAAAATTACGTGATCTTTAGCTTACCTGCTTAGGAGCTCTCTGAGCTCAGCCCTGTACATCCCGTAGAGCGCGTCTTCCCGGAGACGGTTATGCCGGGCGAAGCCACCTAGATCATCTTCCGGCCGCCATCGCTGCGCTTCAGCTGCTTCTGGGTTATCAATGACATGCCACTCCTCCTCCTCCTCCTCCTCCCCCGCTGCTTCCTGGCCACTGGCACCAGACGTCTCCCCTGGCCACAGCACACCGGGTGGCGGCGGCACGTAAGCTACGGCTTCCTGCCGCGCGCTGCCGCTGCCGTCGGAGGAGGACGAGCCGGAGTGCTCGCCGCTCTGCGCCGACGACCCCGAGTCCGACGAGTACTCCTGGTACCCCTGCAGGTCTTGTTCCTGATCAAGCCGGCCATTCTCCAGAGCATCATCAGTGTTTGGGACGTTGCCGGGCTGATCTTGTGCTGGCTGAAGCGCCTGGATGATCTCATGGCTGGCAGAAGCATTCTCCAGGTGATGGTGAGTTGCTTGATCAATGGTGATGTTTTCTGCTCCGGAGGCAGGATGGCTATGTGTGATCTGCCCTGATTCTCCGGCCGCCGCCGTAGAAATCGGCACGTCGTCCTGCGTAGGCCTTCCGCCACCAATGATTCTGCCTCGCAGAATGGACTGGAGACAATAACAATCAATCATATGAGAAATAAAGGCATGGTACGTATTGTCAATCATATACTACTCCTTGATAGCCGTAAATTATGCTCCGTTAACGTAGCTTCCTGTAGTGCACGTACATGATCCAACACAAAAGGCAGCGCAATGGGAATGTTCAAGTTCAACTTCCACTCATGTTTCCCAGAGTGAGAAGTGCAGGCGCAATAGGCATGAATCAAGTACAGGTGGGGTTTGGGGCAGAAAGATGCAAACTTTTCAGCTGCTACGAACAGCAATGTGCAGAGGACCCCATGGTGATGGATGATCATCATGGTGGCATGCCAAATGTAAATTAGAGTACTTCCTAGAAATATTCAGCAGGATTAGACAATGCCACTCCTGTTTCTGACACTCCGATCGTCGACAAGTACTCCCTCCGTCCGGAAATACTTGTCGAAGAAATGGTTGTTCCTAGTTGTATTTTAGATCTAAATACATCCATTTTTATCCATTTTGACGATAAGTAATTCCGGACGGAGGGAGTAGTATACTTTTTAAGAGGAAATGTTTGTACTATTTGGGGGCAGAGAGAAGAGGAGCAGAGGATGGTGGGCTTTGAGTTGACGGACGGACCTGGATGCGGCCGCGGTGGGCGAAGGAGGACACGGCGCGCTGCTCCGAGAGGCCCTGGAGCTCGCGCAGCCGCTCCATGGACATGCGCCTGGCCGCGGTCGGCGCGCGCGCCTGCCGGGCGCGGGGCCCCGGCGCGTGGCCGTCCCCGCCGTCGCCGCCCTGGCTGGCCCTGCGCACGCGCTCCCGCACCGACCGCACGCGCTCGCGCTCCGTCTCGCCCAGCCACTCCTCGCCTACGCCGACGCCGTCGCCTCCGCGCGGGGCGCCCTGCTGCGGCTGCGTGGGCGCGGGGGCAGTCCACTCCCGCGCGATCCGCCGCACGAGCGCGCGATCCGGCGACCGTGCCCGCCTCCCGTCGTCGTCGTTGGCGTCGGCGCGGGCGCGGAGGAAGGAGGAAGCGTCGAGCATGGTGGAGACGGCGTGGAGGCGCGCGAGCGCCATGAGCTCCGAGTCGCGGTCGCGGCGGTCGAGCCCGCCGAGCACCATCTGCTCGCAGGCCTGCCGGCGCCGCGCCGCCCACTGCGCGATGATCCTGGACGCCGCGGCGCTGGCAGCCGCCGACGACGACGCCTCCCCTCCGCACGCCATGCTCTTGGCGCGGAGCTCCTCCATGGCGCTGGCCGACATGGTCCTAGCTAGGCGGGAGGGCGAGTGGCGGGTATAAGTAGAGCAGCAGGCGGGGAGGCGGAGGCGGCATTTTTCCACGGGCGCGCGAGCAGAGGAGGAGGAGGAGGAGGAGTTGGTCCAGAGCAGCCTGGCAAATCCCGGGGCGGGACGCTGGCCCGATCGAGAGGTGGAAGAAGAGAGAAGAAGAAGAAGAGTGGTGTGGCCCTAGCGGGTTCACCATTGCTGCTGATATTTTAGTTATTTACTCGCCGGATTTGCTGTGTTTCTCGGCGACCAAATCGGCACATATATATATATTGCTCGGGGTAAATGTAAAAATCGCAGGAATTAATGGGGTAATTATAATATGAGTCATCACAAAAATCTTTAGTCGGATTTTATGATTATTCATCGGCGCGTTTTTATGACCGTGCATCTAATAGTAGATAAATATTGTAACCCGCATTTTTATAACCCAAAATATTGGGCCTCACTTATTAAGTTCTATATTTTTATACAGTATATTTTTTAATAGTATGTAGGAGTAGTATTTACTCACCATGCATGATTTGAAAATAATATTATTTACTCCCTGATTTGAATTTATGCACATAAGAGTTATTCTCTACTAACGCTATCTCCGTTATGTATTTCCGTTATGCAAGGCCGAGTGCATCCCATCTCCTCTGATAAATATTTTCGGTTTTACACACGGTTCACAAGGGCGGTTAATACGATATAGGTGTATGAAACTATATGAGGCGCGAGCACTATGTATCTCATTGCCTCTGATAAATGCTTCAAGTCTCACTAACGGTTCACGAGCATAGTTAATACGGTATATGTGTGGGAACCTATTTGCTGCAGTAAGAAACATACGAGTGGGTTTGAGGACGTTAAGGGACATCGTGATTGTCGCTAGTTGGTGATTAATGAGCTTGGTACACGAGTTGTTCGGAAAACGCTTTATATGCCCTTCTTGTTGGAGTCATCTTTAGTCCAATTTTACAACTACGCATCCAATGGCAGATAGATATTATATATTATGTTCTATATTTATACATAGAGCTTTAATTGTAATGATTTGCTTGTTGATTTAAATTTGCACACGTGAGAATCACTCCCTCCTTCCGGCATTTCCGTTATGAAAGGCGTCGTGCAAATCATCGCCTCTAATAAATGTTTCAAGTCTCACTAACAGTCGATAAGCGCAATTAATACAATATATGTGTGGGAAGCTATATGCGGCAGTAAGAGACACACGAGTGGGTCTGAGCGCGTTAAGGGAGACCATGATTGTCGCTAGTTGGTGATTAATGAGCATCCTATAGGAATTGTCCATAGAACGCCTTGTATACCCTTCCCGTTAGAGTCATCTTTAGTTCATTTTTTAACTATACATCCAATGGCAGATAAATATTATTTCTCACTTATTATCTTCTATATCTGTAATGCTTTAGTTTTAGTTATGATTTGCTCGTTGATTTAAATTTGTACACGTGAGAATCACTCCAGCCTTCCGGTATCTCCATTATGCAAGGCGTCGTGCATCTCACCGCCTCTAATAAATGTTTCAAGTCTCACTAACAACCCTCGAGCATAGTTAATACAATGTATTTGGGTGAAGCTATATGTGTGCAGTAAATAGAAACACGAGTGCGTTTGTGCGCGCTAAGGGGGGGCGTTATTGTCGCTAGTTAGTGATTAATGAGCTTGGAATATGAGTTGTCCCTAAAACGCCTTGTATATCCCTGGTCGGGTTATCTTTAGTCCAATTTTATAACTATTCATCTAAATATTATATCTCACATAATCTCTTCTATATTTACACAGTGTTTTAATGGTATTTGTTACTTACTCGTTGATTCAAATTTGTACACGTGAGAATCATTCCCACCTTTCGGTATTTCCGTTACGCAAGGTGGCATGCATCTCATCACCTATGATAAATGCCTTTTAGTCTCATCCATGGTTCGCGGGCGCAGTTTATATGATACAATTGGCATTGTATACCTTAAGCTACCAATAAATTCTGCAACATGCAACCAGATTTGTATTGGCTTGGACCCAACTTCCATGCCCTTGGCTTTCAAACCCTCACCTGAGAATTCAATCAAAATTGAGATATCGTCTGACAAGTAATGGTTCCTCTAATAAAATATAAATGCGAATCTTTTTTAGTTGTTGCGAGACATGAGATGACCAGGAGGCAGCCAACATTTCTCCTCAACTCATCAGCGTTGCCGGGGGTTCCTCTAGCCTCCGTCGGTTACTACGATGATAGGAGGGCAAGGAAACCCTACATCCCTATGCCTGGTTGTCTCGTAGGGTTCTCAATAATTTTTTGTGTTAGTGAAGTTGGGCCAGCAAGGGTGATGGGAATAATGTTTACTTGGCTTTCTCTAGGTTGATGGCCTTCCTCACAGGGGCGTCGATTAGTTGGAGGATGGTGCCTACCCTAGGACATCCGTTTTCCGCAACTAGTGTTTGTCCATGGCGGCGATGTCCTAGATAAGGGATGGCTTGCAGTGTTTTTTGTTCTTCAGTTCCATCTCCACTCTATGAAACTCAACCTGATACATCTTCATAGTAGAACCTATGAGGTTTGTGTCCCTTATTTCTATGACAGGAGTTGGGATTATCTTCTGTCTCTCCTTTACACCAAGTTCTCCGAGGTGATGACATGTCCAAGTCGATCACGGTCAGCGTCTTCTGCTTTTCATCGACGACTTCCAGGACGCTGCTTCTACAAGCTCATGGATTTCAACAAGATTGCTGCAGTAACACAGAGGCTCAGTGTCGTGAGAAACGGCCGCTGAGGAGTCCAGAAGGAAGATGATGCTATTTTTAATGCAATTTATTTTTGGTAAGGGAATCTTTGTAAGGCCTGATTTTATAATAAAAATTTGGCCTTGTGCCGCAAAAAAATATCCTCTGGTCGTAAATCATGACCATAACCATCATAGAGTTATCATTTTTCAAGAGTCCGTGCATATATTTCTAAATCGAATAAGATGTCTAAGCCCATATTGCTATAATTTTGGTTTAATCATGATTCCTTGCACTCATTTGTAAATCTCAATATCAGATGACGGCTCGGTAAGATTTAGCAAAACCTTCTTTTAATGTCACTTCAGCTAACTTGCGAAAGGCTTTAGTTTGTACGTTGGTAGAGTATCTCCAACTTTTTTGTGTGCATCACGATGATACCGAGGCCAGGGCTTTGGAAGAACTTTTTTTTTTCAACAAAGTCCTTTTTCCTAATATAATCCATCTATTGGGGTTGTTGGGCCAAAAACATGCTTCAGAACTTGCCCACTTTGCCCAATAAAATATTAGTGTGTTCC